CTTTTTCATTTTCTATATTAGTATAACGGCATCCACCAATATCGGATGAAACCATTTGATTGACGGATTAAGCTTACGAATTCTCCATTCCTATTTTATTTTTACCTATTTTACTTTTCAACATTTCAACTTTTCGATTTATGTTAGTAACTATTGTAACTATACAGGGCCTATGACGTCGGCTTACTGACAAGATAACGAGATTTTGAGGGGTCTTTGGTCTTGGTCAATTTAAATATTAATTATTGTCTTGAATTATATTCCTTACTTAGTTATACTACACCCAGTGATGGAAGAGGCCTTTGAAGTCGAGTCCTCAGCGAAACGTAACCCAGTTTGCAAAATGGTCAAACGTACCAGAATCTCCAGGGTCCAAAAAAGGCGTCCTGGAGCCTGCATAGACGGCATATTCGTAAGTTAGTACTTCTGACCGGCCATCATCCCAACCAGGTAGCTATGGGAATATGCGCGCTTATGAGCCCTTACAAACGCGCAGGGTCTTTCTGGCTGAACATCCTAGTTTCAACACTCCATTCCAAGCAGTATCCTCATCTGGATGGCCGTGGAAAGATTCCAGTGATTGGGGATTACGATAAGTATAAGGACCAATCCTTCCATGTAGAAGCTAAAAGGATATCAAAAATTAGTTAAAAGAAATAAATAAAATAAAAACTGGTCGGGCAGGGGGTTTGATGGATGCGCATACAGAGTTGTTAGAATGTCTAGCTTTGGGAACGTCAAGGAAGGCCCAGTCAGCTTGCCTCAATCTCTTCTCGGAGATGTTGCTAGACAAAGGTTACGAGACTGGTTGATCTATTCTGATCCCTCTTGCTCTTAGATCTCAAACTATCCACCAAATGTTGAAGATGAATAGATTGGTCGGTACGCTCCAAGGCTGGAGCCTGCCTGTGGAGGCCTCTGATATAATAGTGATTCTAGCAGGGGTTGTCCCATACTATCCGCCTCTTAATAAATGGTTTAATATCTTGTCCCATGGAGCGTATGTTGGGAGCTATCCCCCGCCGTTAGGTCGCCATTAATACATCTGTCAGGTAATAACTCTAGGCCCTCTGAAAAAGCGATATCCTCTATCCGGTGAAGGATTCGAGTATGGTAGAAGGCCCCCGTTGCCTCCCACGGGCGAAGCAAAGCCCAGGGAAGTTGAAGATGCCATTTTGATGTGCATGGTATCAGGGCGTATTTATAGTAAAGGGTAAAGAGGATTCATGAATAAAGAATGCAGTGAACACCTATGTTAGTACCAGCCAGCATGGATATTGTTTAAGTTATCTAAGTGATTGAAGCCGGCAGACAAAGGGCAGCCCGAAGGATAAGATATCCTTGATGGCCCTCTGCCAGTCAGTGAAGCTTTGGGACTGCCTGAAGGAAGTGAGGTAGCGGGATAGGTGAATTTATGTAGGGCTCTAACCTCGCGGCTCCACGGTCCCGGTAGATTCCAAGATGTAGATATTCACCTGCTGTGCCATTATGCTTTTGATATAGTAAAGAAGGTTATATCATTTCAACATCCGTATTCAGGCTGTCGCTGAACTAGTCTTACATTGGTGTAAAAGAATAACAGGGCTACTCACCACTATAGACAAAAACTCCCTTGCCGCTCCTAAAGCCCCCAAGCGTCCCCTGTACGCTGTCAATGAGCTCATCCTTAGACGTATCTCTTGTCCATTTAACCTCCTGCACGGGGATATCTTTAAACCTGCCGTCACGAGTTAGACGGAAGATATCACGAATAGTCTCTTCCTTCATAACTGGGTTCTGGTCGCTCCATCTCGATACCCAGAAGCCGTGGAAGGAGATGTTGTTGAAAATCATTAGTCCAGCAGTCAGGGAGGTCGGCATCTTCGCCATGGCGCCGTAGGTGACATGTCGAGAGTTGGGAGCAAGCACTTTGGCCATAGCAGACGCATTCTTCCCGCCAACGCAGTTCAGGGCGAGACGGATGGGCTCTCTGCCTCCGCGTGTCTGTTGGTGAACAATCTCTTTGAACTTTGCAGGGGATAGGAGGTCCGCTTCGGTAATGACGGCCGTGGCGCCGAGCGAGAGCAGCTCGTTCTTCAGCTTTTCCGTATCCTCTGCTGTTTCACGCTCCCGAATGACGTTCAGAGTCTTGATATTCCACTGTTTGGCAATCTGGATGGCCGCTCGGCCTACACCCGAGTTTGCGCCGTTCTGAATCAACCACTCCTCCCCGCCACGCAACCAGTCCCATTCACAAAAATCCTTGATCATCCGGTATGCCGTTACAGGGTTGACGCTGACGGTTCCCGCTTGGATGGGGGTGAGGCCTTGACGGTCCTGCTCGTCAATCTTAATCAGCTGCGATTCGTCCCACTGAGCGTGTGTCCGCCATGTGCCCATCCCAGAGTGTTTCATGACAACCCAGTCGCCCTTGCGAAGAGACTTGACGCCCGAGCCGGTGGAGATAACTTCAAAAGCTGCCTCGTTGCCAGCCACGGCATGAGGCTCAATCGTGCCTAGGGAGGTGGTGAAAGTGGGCTTTGTCGGATAGACACCTTGTATCTGGTTAAAGTCTGCCGGATTGAGCGGAGCAGCCAGTAGTCGGAGGGTACATCGAGTGCCACCGGGAGGAGAGATGGAGTATGCATGTAGACTAGGCAAAAGAAGCCAGTCAAGTCAGTACAACACCACTCATTTAAACAAACGCCAGGCAAAGGACGTAAGTGTAAAGCCCCCGAGTAAATACATACTTTAAAACATCTTTGGGCTCTCCGTATTTTGGAAAGACAATGGCCTTGGCCTGGGTGTACCCGTAGGCAGAGATGTACCGCCTATCGATGGAGAGTCGCGCTGTGAGAGATGACCGTCGACATGACTGTCCAAAAAGGCCGGAAGCTCGAGGAGCTACCATGCTGGAGAGCCCCAATTTATCTAATCCAATGCCTTTAATTAATTCAGTACCTTGCTCAGCGATAAAGCCGCCGAAGTGCTGAGCTATCCAGAGTAAATATTTGATAGCTTTGTAGATGCAAAAAAGTGTTATTGTTGATGTTTTTGCTGCGATGACGTCGGGTGAAGTCTTGGCTGGGCAACTTTCTTTTAAGCCGAGGCAGCCAAGGATAACACGAAGGAGAGAGAAGACAGAAAAGATTTAGCAACTTATCCCACCAGTCATCTTATACATATTTCTATGGTACAGCAGGTAGCATCAAACAGCCAACTAAAACAACAAGAAGGGGGAAAGGGCGGAGGACGGAAGAGATCGGTGAAATGAGCAAACGAGACACGGCATGGAGCTAGGAAGAAGACGAGAAAAGGGCCGGGAGGATGAGACGGGGTGCCTGGAGATCCCCTATTGGCAAACGCGCAGCTTTACTGAAAGGGCGGGCTCATTGATGTTAATCGACATCTCCGCTACCTGTTGCTGTTGTCGACAAAAGGCCACATACGCCGGGCTTCTTCGGGCGGCCTCTCTGCCGACATTTGCTCGACGAACATTTCAAACAGCTCTTGGTTCTGCCGGCGCTTCCCTTCTATATCCAATTCGGGAGATATCCATCCTTCTTCGTCTGTATCCAGGCATTTTCTTGCGATCTCGTTGGCCTTATACCAATCCTCATAGTCTGTGAACTGGGTGTCATGATTGGCAATCTCGTCTTCACTAAAAGTGTAAGGACATTCACCGGTGAAGCCCAGTTCTGACCAGCTGTGAAAGATCTCAATCATACATGCACGGAGAGGTAGGATACCAACTTCTGATGTCTCACCGCAGCGCTTGAATAGTTCTCGAAAGACCCGGGGAAGGGTCATGGCTGTATGAGCGGCTTGGTTTTCGAGATAGGTGGAAACCTCATATGCCTTTGCAACCATGGCTTGCTGATATTCATATCTTGCTAGCTGTTTGTCCTCTTCATCCATTTCTCTAAAATTGGCTGGTAGTTTTGGCACTTGAAACCCCCTAACAAAGTTTTCTGGCGGCTCCAAGAAAATAGGCCAGCGTGCCTGCAGAAAAAGAGGAAGGAAAGATATTGATTGCCAGTCAATGATGGAAAGGATCTGAGATGGGTTCTCGGGAGAGACATAGATGTTCCCCATGTGAAGGTCCGTATGCCAGACCACGGGTTTCCACAACTGTGCCAGACTAGGGTTCGAAGTTGAGTCCAACATCTTCATTAGACTGATAACACTTTCAAGCAGGCCTGTCTTCTCCTCGGAACTTCCTTGATAGAATGTCCCTGGGTGAGGCGGCAAACCTTGCAACACCCGAGCTATTTCACGCCTTGCAATTGCAGCACCAAGTGTTGCCAACGTATCCCCTATCGTATGTGTCAGCGGTATACAAAAGATATAGCTTGGAGTACCTACACGGCCCTAGATCAACATTCGGTCCCTCGACACCCTCTAGCACGTACACTCTATCGCCTGAACGACCTACACAATATGACTGCGATGGGTCAATCTCTACACTCAGAGACTTAGAGGAAGACAGACTCCCACCAAAGCTCCGTAGGTACAAACTACCATATGCAGGCAGCTGCAGAGAAGAGAGCTCGCGTTCGAACACCGTAAGTCCCTTGACGAGCTCTAGTCTATCTGAGAGTGAGATCTCCCCCCATATCTTGAAAAGAGGCACACCAGTCGCTTTCCCCATAATGATGTATTCTGCTCCCACAGGGTTTTTAGGGTCAGAAGACCATACATACACTTCGGGGACAGGAACACTTGTATGCCCTTTCACTAATATAGTTATAAGTGTGAATAAAATGGTCAATATAAAATGCCGGACCACTGAGCTACCTAGTTACTTACCGTATTTCAGAATAGCAACCTCCGGCTCGGTAGTGTACACTGGCGGACCCGCATTACGACAGGCAATTTTCGCGACAATCTCCATGCCGTTTTCCTTTTTCATCAAAAGGGCCTTGCTAAAACCGCCTTCCATCTTCTCAATAGCTCTGACCGGAGAGAACTGGCCTCCAGCTGTGGCGGCGACATCACAGAGAGCATCCAGGCTAAACTTGACATAGCGCCGGTCAAACTGGGATTTTTCATTAATGAGGAAGCCCCCATTTGTGTATTCGTAGAGTTTTTCCTCAGGTATAGGTTTGCCTAGGCAGAATTTTAGTTTAATAATTTAAGAAGTACTGTTAGCCATATCTGCTACGATACCTCGACATGAGATGTGTAAATTCCGGTTTGCTTGCGTTCCAGGAGTACTTGTCCAGCGCAAAAATGAGGAGATATGAAGTCGCATTATTCGAGCAGTTAGTTGAGGCATAAAGAGAAAGAAGAGCTTGAGAATGTGGCTATGTTCCAAAATACATTATGTTTATGGTTACTTCTGGGGATAAAACGGATTCGCTTTCAACTACGACTAGACCCCCAGTAGTTACCTAAGTTACCGTTTATGGATTATAGCTAACCCGGAAATAGACTTTCGATGTTCGATCCCAATTGGAAGGCTGGAAGATTGGTTGCTGCTGGGTAGGCCATTGCAGGGTGGGGATCGTATAAAGATTGGTGCTCATTAACAAGTTGATAATGCGAATTCTATGCAAAATATCATCGGTCGCATAACCCTATTGTGTTTGATTGGAGGTAACGTATCCCAGGCATAGGGAAGGAAGGTTTACACCTGGGCAGTTTCCGCGACGTTAAAAGGCTTTCCAGGCGGAGAGCGCCAAAAGCTGAAGAACCCCTGCTGCTGAGCCTTTTTGGGGTCATATTTGAACTGGTTGCTGTTTATAGTCATACCCCGGTACTTGAATGCTGCATTCCAATGCGTGTGGCCGAAGACCCAACAGCGGATGGCATTGAAGCCTTGCCAGGATTTAACTTGAGACTCAATTAGGTCTGAGCAAAATGCAGATGCCCAAGGTTGCGACTGATGCCTGGGGTCGGCAGTCCTCATGAAACTGGGAGCGTGGTGGGTAACAACAATGATATCGCGTTTCTCCTTTTCGAGTGAGATGTTATGAATTTCCTGTTGTAGCCACTCGACATCTCGATAATGTTCGGTGTTATGAGCCTCAACTGTCCTATCCTTGATTATGCTGAAATCTGCTACCTTCATCCTAACCCACAGCTGGGAGTCTTCCGGAACATGAGACCAAAGTGTGCATCCTAGAATCGTCACTCTTCTGTTGATGTCAACTCGTTTTCTGTTCAGAACAGTGAGTTTTCCGGTAAGCTGCGGCTCAAGTTCCAATCTTTTGGCAGCATCGATTCCATCTTGGTGAGTAATCCAGTAGAACTCGTGATTGCCCAGGACGGGGAAGACATGATCAAACTGGGCACACTGGGCGGCAAGGAAGGTTACATATTCTTTATAGTTGAGTAGACATCCGATGTCTCCAGCTAGAATCAAGTAAGGAGCCGTTCTTGGGACAACAAAGGTTTCGTAACGCTGTCCATCCTCCAGATGAAGATCGGATATGTATTGAAAAGAGATTGGATGCGAGGGCAGCTGTTGGAAGATTGCCGTTGTGAGCTTCACCCACAACCTCTTCGGAGAGAGAAACACTGACTGGAGCCAGCTTGTAGTTGGAGGCCGGTCGGAACTCTGAGCTTCTTTTGGCAGAGCCTGCTGCTTCTGCTTCTGATGCTGCTCTCTGCTCCAGCTAAGATCATTATAACCCGGAATTAGGTGCAAAGCCTGCGCCTCCTCCTCGGTTTCGTCTGGCTGAGTCTCAGATGTACGGGATGGCTTGGTTGATATACAATCCTTTATGAATTGCATCGCCTCATGTTTGCTGGTATCAAGGTGGTCAAGACAGGGCACTGGAAGGCCTGGCAAAGGGATTTGGGGATATCCGTCCACTGGGTTCCTCGGCTTTGGGAGATGATGGTAGAGAGGACGGGTGCTGGCGGACGGCAAAGACGGGGTACAGGGATGGATGCAAGGGCGTTGAAGTTCCCCGAGTAAGTATTGAACTGCCGGCTGAACCGGACCTTGTCTCTCGCATCATCCTGGATCTGGACAATGTTGCTGCGCAGCGGGTCGAGATGGTGAAATGTGTCCGGCAGGACTACCACGTTCAGGGACACGCCCTGAACGAAGGCCTCAAAGCGGGAGTAAGGTCTCAGGTAGTCTAGGTTGCAAGTCGAGTTGCCCGGCCATGGGTGCGGTCGAAAGACGTCAGCGTACGAGGCAAGCTGTGATGCCGCGGCCTCGAGGCGGCATTCTGGAACACAAATCTCAAGGGTCTATAATTCTTCCGCGATATATGTAAGTAATGTGTACCAGACTCCGTTCTCCGTATCCTGCTGCTCCATGACTCCGGGACTGGTGGCTCCGCCTGCCCCGCCCATACCCGGACATGCATGTATACATGTATTTTAAGTATATGTATAGTATACTCCGGTACGTACCACGAGAACCCTGGCAGCGTTGTAGTAGATCAAGGCAGCCTCGTTGACAACGCAAAAGGGGATATCCACCGGTGCAAGGGCGGTCCTGATTGCGTCAACCAGTGGAATAATGGCCATAACTCGTCCGCCTAAGAGAGTCCCTTAACAGCAGCGTCCTTCTAGTCGTTTCAGTGCTCGCAGACTGAATGATTATCGTGAAATCTCTCTGTCTCCATGGGCTTTAAAAAGCTCTACAGGGCAGAGCCTCAACAGCACAAAGGGGGCTCAATCTACAGCCAGTGGGTGAGTGATTGCCCAGGCCAAGCTGAAGCGACCAAAGTCGACCAAGTCGAGCATCTCTGACTCGACGAGAGAAGCGAGCAGGGCTTCGCATCTCGCCACTTCGCCCATCCAGCGCTCAGGAACGGCGCCCCTGAACCTGAGCCTGAACTTCAACCTCGACCTGGAGCTGGCCTAAACCCTGAGCCGAGCCCCCAAAACCAAACCACAGACCAAAATCCTCCGCACACAGCCCGCCAACACCAACGCCGGCCAACCAGCTCGCTAACCAACGAACTTACTCCAACAAACGGCGAAAAGCGAGAGGTTAACTCCCTTGCGCCGACTCTATCCACTCGACTGCGACGAGCCAGCGTGAAACGCACGGCGATGGGGGTACTCAGCACTCCAGCACTCCGTACTCGGTGTCACAAGAGGAGTGCGTAAGAAAGGGCCAATGCCTTGATAAGCGGACGCTGCAGTCGTCGTAGTAAGACAACGCTGACTCTGCCCGCCCTGATCTGCGACGGTGTGTATAACGCGTACCCGTAAGTATGGAGTACAAGGTGAGACTCTCATCTCCTCGACCTCCTCCTCCTCCTCTCTCGCCCTCGCCGCCGTCGCACGACCGTGTCTTCCCATCCTCATCCCATCCTCTTCCCCATCCTCTTCTTCTCCGTAGTCTTCTTAGTTACTCTTTTTATTCTTCTTCTATTCTTCGTTTTTCTTCTTTTTCTTCTTTTTTAATCTGCAAATAAGGTTTCAATTTAACTTCATGACTAAGCCGCCCCTTTTTAGTGAAACGCACGTGCATGATGAGTCATTTTAAGCTAGCCTTAATCGGAAGAAGTGGCAACAATGACTCAGCTGCTTAGTCACGTCTTTTCTGCCAGCGTGGCCTCTTTATAAAGGCGGTGTCCCTCTTCACTTTCGCCTTCCCGCCTGTTTCAACCTCAGGACCTCAAAGGAGGCAAAAGAGGAAGAAAAGGAGAAGAAGAAGAAGACAGCCTGGCATCAACTCTGACTTCGGCCTCTCTAACCTTGACTTCGCCGGCTGGGACATCTACCCTCCCAGGCCAACGTCCCTCCACCATGCTTCTTCTCTGACAGCCTCTTCTTCTGCACCAAGCAAGCAAACATTACTCACCACGACAAACAAGACATTTGATAAAGACACGATACGATGACGGAGTCGACGTTCGCCGTCGAGGCCTTCTCCATGGACTCGATGTCGCCCTCGCCTGGGGCAGAGATCCCCGGTCTGACCGTCTCGCCGGCTGACACTACCCTCAAGTTCGAGGATGTCGTGCCCGAGGGCCTGCCCAAGGTCGACACCCCCAAGCCGGCGGAGAAGAAGCCGGTCAAGAAGCGCAAGTCCTGGGGACAGGAGCTGCCGACGCCCAAGACCAACCTCCCGCCCAGGTATGTTACCTTTCCTGTCTATCCACTCTACAGACTACTGACTTCTTGGGACATAGAAAACGAGCAAAGACGGAAGACGAAAAGGAACAGCGGCGGATAGAGCGGGTGCTACGCAACCGTGCCGCCGCCCAGATCTCCCGTGAGCGCAAGAGACTCGAGATTGAGAAGCTCGAGGGCGAGAAGCTCAAGATCGAGCAGCAGAACGAGTTCCTCCTCCGCCGTCTCTCGCAGATGGAAGCAGAGAACAACCGCCTCAACCAGCAGGTGGCCAAGCTGGCTTCGGAGATACAGACATCAAAGTCCAACCCAGGCAGCCCTGCCTCGGTCTCCGTCGGCACATCAAGCATCTCTGCAACCCTCGCCGCCTCGACATCTCCCACCCTGGCGCCCGTCCTGTTCAAGCAGGAGAACGACCTGCTCGACAAGCTGGACGGCATTCCATTCACCACCGACTCAACTACAACTACAATCACCGCCTCCGCCACAAACCATATCACCTCTACTACGTCGACCACCCTTTCACCGGCTGACTTGGATCACTCCTCCGCCTCCCCCTCCGATTTGACACAACATCCTGCAGCGGTGTTGTGTGACCTGCAGTGTCAATCGGAGGCCCGGCCTTGGATGACCTCGACCTCAGCCACCTCAACATACCTCTCCTTCATGAACATGATCATGTTCACCCTCCCCCTCTATCAGACGCTGACCTCAGCCGCTTATTCGACGCTGATTCAGCCAGCGAGCCTGATCTTTCTTTCCTTGAAGACGGGTTCTCCCTTGAACTTCTCCCCGGCTCAGATCTCGGCCCTTTTGCCTTTGATTCTCTGGTTGATCTCGGCCCCGACGACGACAACCAACAACACCTCCAGCAGAAACTCGACGACTCGATCGGTTTTCCGGAGCAGACTCCTCTCCCGGCTTCTAGCTTGCAGCCCAGCTTTGGCGCGTCCTTTGAGAGATGCGACGAGCAGGGAATTGCAGCTGGTGCTCAGTGAGAGTGCAATGCTCGGATCTTCTCGGTCAGGTCAGTCGACCGTTCAGTTGGAGTCGCGGCAACGATGGGAATCATTGGTCACCATCCTTTTTGCGATTGATCGGGCAGGGAAGACGGGAGCAGCAGCATCGTCATCATCATTATCATCATCATTTAGAGGGAGGAACAGCGGCAGGTCGCTTAGAGACCGGCCAAGGAAGGTTATTGGGGTCAACAAACAGTCGCCGACGAAGCGAGGCTCTTTCTCTTCTCGGTCGCGGTCACGGCGTTCAGGGTGCATGGAGTACTAAGGTACTAGTTGGGTTAGTCATAGCTATTACAGAATTTAGGATTAGGTTCAATTACATCCAGAATTACTCCTATCACATCTTATTTTTCCGGTTGATCTCGATACGTTTATTCAAGAAAATTGTCTTTCAACACACATCATATATGAGCAGTCCACTCGATTGTTACACTAGGATATTCATTTGACTAAAATAAGGAGTACTCCGTACCCCGTAGACTGACCATCTTTTTATGCCTTGTTGAAGATGGAAGCATACTTTAGAGTCTTGCCATCAATATACCCAGCCACAGAAGTTGGCCTATAACCCTTGCCCTTCCACTCCCTCAACAAATCCTGGTACTCTGGCCCCGTCAGTCCGTATCTCGTATACGGCTTTGCAGCCTCTGCATCCACTTTCTCCCAGATACCAGAATACCACACCTTCCCGTCAACGTTATACGGGACGATCTGCACTGGATAAAACCCGTCCTTCTTCAAATCCTCAAATTTCTTCTGGTACTCATCACCGTTCAGACCAGCATACGCCTTCCATGCTGGGCCAGCGCGCTTCTCAAACACACCGGAGAACCGCTGTTGGGATCCAACGGCGTACCCGCTCAGACTGCGCAGACGGTATCCCTTCTCTACAAGCTGCTGGAAAAGCTCCGTGAACTTATCACCGGATATATCCGTCCTCTCTTCCCAGGCAACTGCCCCCTTGCCGCTATTCTTGTGCCATATACTAGTGAACCGCCTTTCCTTGCCTGAAGTTGGGTCCTTGCCAACGTTATACCCTTGAACATGCAGGGGACGGTACTCCTTGTCCTTAAGATCGTCGAAGGCCGTGCTGTATTTCTCGGGGGTAAGGCCATGGTTGGCTATCCAGGCTATCTTATCAGAGGCAGAGGGCTTCTCGAAGATAGCATTGTATCGGGCATCACCACTCAAGTCGGAAAAACCGGTGGCATATTCAAGGCGGTAGCCGTCTTTGACCAGTTCGTTGAATGTTTCCTGGTAGGCGGAGGAGGTGAGTCCGAAACGGACTTGCCAGGCATTTCCTGCCAGGGCAGCGGTGGCCAGAAGAGAAGCCGTGGAGAAAATAGTGATTTTCATTTTTGCTCTTGGTTTCCAAGGAAGGGTTTATATTGTATGAGTCTGATGTTGTTGGAGAAACACTCTCAACCCATACTCCTTTGCTCCCTCTTTATATACACAGCCCTCTCGGAAAGTCGTCTGCCCGGCACGGCTGGAGATGCAATAATATTGTCCATGGCCATATCAAATAAGAAGTTGATAATGGGGCCTAAGTGGATGCCATTCGCTCATGATACTACTATACATACCATGGCGGGACAACTTGGTCTTCAGGATGTTGCTATATTGCCGATTATTCAGTGAGGTATTTTGTAGAACAAGCCATCTGCCCGCGATATTTCAAGGCCTCCCTGGTGCATAAATTAATAAATATCGGCTAACTTGCATAAATTGATTGCCCTTGGGCATGGGAGTATATTATTCAAGCAGGGGCACAATTTATCAAGGGCCTTAACGAAATGATGAATACGAGATGAGATGGAGATGGCTTCTCGCACATGGACATCTGCCTGCACGCGCACGGATATTATTCCCTACAAGAGTTGTAATATAGTGTAGGGTGGTTGGGCACAGAGTGTATGCTCTCGGGCTTCTGGAGACCCGTGTAGACCTTTTTGATATTCTAATCATTCAAATGCTTGCTACTAGGTCATTCATTTAAGGTCGACAAGACAAGGTTCCAATTAAGGTTGTTTCTTCTTATAGAAAGCGGAATAATTTCCGGTCCGATGAGGCTCATCGAGATCACATGATAGGGGCTTCGGGACCACGTGAAGATTACGTCAGTGTAGTCTTGGCGCTGCTACCTCCATCAAAATGAACTTCAGGCACAGGCTGACGATGTTGATGACATAGAGATACCCAACATCATGCAAAGGACTTTCCTTTTCTGAGAGATATCCGTGAAAAAGTATTTCTTCGATAAACCCACAAACTATATTTTTTGGCTACCAACACGCACATACTCAGTCTCGGGTAACAGTGGCTAATATGGGCATGCGAGACCCCCTCCTTGAGGCCATGGCCGAAGTAAAGGTATATTCGGCTCTTAAGTCGTTCTATTTTTCGAGATGCTGTCATTTTTGGGTGCATAGCTAACGACATGACGTAGGTCAACGGCAACCAACTACGGAAACAAGCGGCCAAGGCCGAAGCATCCGCCCGCGCACAGGAAGACAAGGCAGTCAAAGCCATGAAGAAAGGACAGTTCCAAATTTCTCGCATCCACGCCAGCTCAGCGATCCGTGAAAAACGCCGGTCTGTTACCCTGCTATCGAAATCAGCGGAGGCAGACGTGATATATAGTGATCTGTCCGCTGCCAAAAGTACCCGCGACTCCACACGATCACTCATGAAAGCATCCAAGGCTCTTGACACGGCATCAAGAAGTATAAATCTCGAACGCACCCTCGCTGTTGCCAACCAGTTCGTCTCTCGGTCAGAAGATTTTAAACTGGCCGGGTCTGCTCTAGAGGGGGTCTCAAAGGATGTCCAGATGCAAGAGTATGGCGCTGAGGGTGACGAAGATGTTGACCGCCTCATGGAGCGGCTGGCAGATAGTGCTGGCGTCGATTTACGCCAAGGTTTAGAGGAGAATGCTGCTCCACGCGAGGAGCTTACAGCGGTCACCAACAAACAGAAAGAGGCGGAGTTCGAGGATGGCCTGGCTGGCAGACTGAGGGCCTTGAGAGGATAACATCATTGTCTCTCTTTCTAATCTCCTTAATGTTGATGACTGTACGGACCTGTACCATTCTGTTCCCTTTTGAGGTTTTGTTTTTTGTTTTATTTTGTCATTCATCGGTTTGGAGTTGGGGCATGGGCAGGAGGCTCGACACTTTCTATTTGCAGCGGCTCTAGATACCAGTGGTAGTTCTTTACCCTGGAAATATATATATATATATATATATATTTCTTGACCCTATTTGATATTAATTAATTTACAACTTTGATAACTACTTCATGTTTCCTTTTATCGAGTCTCTAGATTCATGACCGCAGAAACGACCAAGTGTCACGTGATGGTTAATTTTCCACCATATCGAAGTGCCTCTCCAGAGTTCACGATTGCAAACAAAAGACAACTTTATAGCTGGCCTGAGAAGAGGAGGATAAATGTCCTTCTTGCGCGAGGCAGAGAAATGTCTACTTAATCAAAAGGCATTTGCGAATTTGAATGCCTTCATTACTCCATTAGAGCGCTCCGCGACATGGGTGGAGCGGCTTCGAGCTGTGGACGACCGCCGGGGGAAAGGTGAGATACACGCATCTACCATTCTACTTGTATAGCTTCTTGATGGCTAACTCCAATTGGATGATCAACAGATGTAGTGCTGGCCCCCCTAAATGGTAAGCTCGTTGGTGTGAAGGATAACATCTGCACCAGCGAGCTGCCAACTACCTGCGGATCTGCGATTCTCCAAAATTTTACTAGTCCTTTCAATGCGACGGTTGTTGAGTTATTAGAAAATGCAGGAGCTGTCGTGGCTGGGAAGACGAACCTGGATGAGTTTGGCATGGGGTAAGCTTTCTTTTTCACATGGCCCACTGTGTCAAGACTGTCTGGATGTCATCTATTAACACCCTTATAGATCCCATTCCACACATTCCCATTTCGGCTCTGTGAAAAATAACTGCGGAGGAGAGGAATATTATTCAGCTGGCGGAAGCTCTGGAGGGAGTGCGATTGCAGTTGCCACAGGACAATGCCATGCGTATGTCAACTTCCGAAGTATGAGCTGTCTAGTGCTAATGTGAGTAGGGCATTGGGGACTGACACCGGTGGCTCAGTACGCCTTCCGGCGGCGTATACGGGTATTCTTGGGTTTAAACCTTCGTACGGTTTGATATCGAGATGGGGAGTTGTGGCATATGCGAACTCCCTTGATACAGTAGGGATATTTGCGAAGGACACAGCAACTGTCCGTAACGTTTTTGGTGAGCACAAGCTTATTATCCCGCTGCCAGTTGTCTATAACTAACATTCAAATAATAGACGTGGTGAACCGATATGATAGCCGTGATCCGACTAGTATTTCACCCGCCACTCGGTTACGCATCTTAGCCGCTGGCAAAGAGCCGACGAAGCGGCCTGCTCGCCTGCGAATTGGAGTTCCCCTTGAATACAACATACATGAACTGAGCCCTGATATCCGATCTGCATGGCAGAGAGCACTTCACCATCTGCAATCCAAGGGGCACAGTATTCATCCTGTCACGCTTCCAGCCACCAAACAAGCCTTATCTGCGTACTATGTCTTGGCTCCGGCGGAGGCTTCATCGAACTTGTCAAAGTACGACGGTGTCCGATATGGTACCAGAGACATCAAATCCGCAGACAATGCAGGAGACTACCTTTATTCGAATACCCGTGGAAAAGGGCTCGGACCGGAAGTCAGGCGACGGATACTCCTAGGAACGTTCTCTCTCAGCGCAGATAAAATTGACAATTATTTTATTCAAGCGCAGAAGATCCGGAGATTGGTTCAGTCAGACTTTAACTCCGTATTTCGGCGTCGGCACCCACTTTTACATACAACAGCAACATCTCTCGAGCTAAGGGACCCTATCCATAATAGCGATGTTGAGGCCAATGTCAAAATTGACGTGCTCATCTGCCCTACCGCCCCGTCAACTGCACCAACCATAAAAGAGTTGGAAAATGCTTCTCCTATCGAAGCATACACAAACGACGTCTTCACAGTCCCATGCAGCCTTGCAGGACTCCCGGCATTGAGTGTTCCAGTTTCCTTCGAAGGAGAACAACACAAGATTCCAAGTTGCCTACGCCATGCAGGTGTACAAGTCATCGGTCAGTTTGGAGACGATGACATGGTCTTAGACGTTGGAATGATGCTTGAGGACATAAACAAGGTGTGAGACTGAGTTTACATCCCCTTCGATATGTTGTAATTATATACATGTATTATAATGATTGTAGATTCTTAATCCTCCAATACCACGACCTGGAGCGTCCCGAAAATATCCATCACGTGACAGAGATATATTGGAACCAAGTTTCGCTTCCGCCCAGTAGCGTTGATATCAAAGGGTAGAAAGGCAGTCCTCCGTCCAAACAACACTCAAGGATTGGGATAGACGAAACGATGCTGGCCGCGCTATTTTGGAATGATAGTGCCTTCCTGCCGTTTCTCCAGGTTCAATCCTAATTCGCCCACAGAGCTGCAGCCTCACAAGCCAAGATGACCGCCAGCGGCGAGAAGGCAAGGGAGAAAGCAAAGAGGACAAAACGCGAGCATAAGAAGAAGCACGACACTAAACGTCAGGATATAGGCGATGGAAGTTATGAGAGAAAGACGACAGCTTCGTCGTCCAGCTCGGCCATTCCGTCATTAGAGCTTCCAATGCTTATGCCCATACCCGTTGCCGATCCTCGTCCTGTGGACGTCCTACACCCAAAGCCACGCCAGATGAACCTGTCTTGTACAAAGAAATCTGAGATAACAGGTCAGGAATACAGGTTTTATGATATTGCCGACAAGTATGTGTTGAGTTTTAGAAACGGTAGTGGTTCATTTAGCTGACAGAATTACCTATAGAGTGAGCAACAGAAACGGGTTCAGGTATACATATGCAATTGAAGACCTAGGTTTCCCGCACATTAGATATCGGCAAACAGACGTTCCCCCGTACCATTCACGATTTAGCTTCGAAGATTCTCCTGCCTGTATTACTTTTACAGAAGATGCCCGAGGAATAACCACCGGTGATCCATGGCATTCAGCTCGAGCAAACGTTTGCGCACGGGAGGGAACATACTATTATGAAGCCAAGGTGGTAAGCGGAGTGATGCGAGGCTCACAGCCGGGGCCTTCAGCTCGTGGAAATATACGGCTTGGGTTTGCGCGACGTGAAGCCGACCTTGATGTGAATGTTGGCGTTGACTGCTACGGCTATGGTATTCGGGACGTTAACGGCGAGGTTGTAAACCGAATGCGGTGCGAGTACTTTTTTCCCAAGGACGAATCAATCTGTGAGGGTGATGTGATTGGCATGTTGATTACCCTCCCGCCACTCGAACTGCACAAGAAGGTTGTTGAAGGGACGTACGAACCGCCGACTGAAGGGGATGAAATGGATGTAGACCATCCGGCACCTCAGCCAGCACCAGTTAATTTTATTCGGGACCGCATTCCGTTCCACCTAAAATCCGATTTTATGTATCAGCAGAGCCATGTCTTTGCTTCGAAACATCTCCGGGACTATGCATTCAACCTCAAAGAGACCCCTACATATGGCCCCCCCTCACCCGGCAATGCAGAAGATGCATCCCTTCGAACACTTCCTGGCTCTAGTATCACCATCTTCAAGAATGGGATTAAAATGGGAACTCCCTTCGAAAATTTATATGCTTTCCTCCCGCCGGCTTCTCGGTTCGCACAGGCAAGTAATAACTTGGGCATAGGCGAGAGAGAGAATGCAGATGACGGCATGATCGGCTATTACCCTGCCGTTAGCTGCCATAATGGCGGAGCAGTAGACTGTCGATTTGAAGCTCCTTGGTTTATTGGCCCTCCTACGGAAGAATTTCCAAATGTGAAGCCCTTCGGTGACAGATTCAACGACCAGATCTGTGAGGACATAGTGGCTGATATCGTTGATGAAGTGGATGCATTTTGTACTGGATGGCGGTTGGAATTACCAGCTACCCACGCAGCTGGCGGCACAAATGCTTCTACCCCGGTTCCTTCAAACCTGCGAGAGGCGAGCGTAGCAAGCGCTCCTACGAGTATGGCCATGGACGGAGCACCGGATACACCAAGTGCGATGAGTCAAGCCATGGAGTGAGGTTATAATGCTGTATGATAGTAGATACCTGTATCAATGTACCGCGATACAGTGAAATACCAGAAGTAAAGGGATCGTATATTTCTATGCAAAATGCGACATCAGGTTATACTAATATGATTCTAGACAAGACTTTTACCCATTATACAAGGAGATCGTGTGTATCTTAATTATATTGTCATATCCATAGTATCGTCGCCTCCGTTGTTTTCAACGACTTCGGGCACAACGATTCCTCTGCCTCTTCCGGCCAGGAGCTCTCTCCGTACTTCTGGGCCGATATCTTTATGTCCATTGGACAGCAGAAGGTCAAGGAGCGCTTCACGCTGGTCCTCTGTGATATCGTTTCGATAACGCTGGGCAAACGCAAGAAGAGATTGATGCCATAGAACGGGAAGCTTATAGTCCCTTGCAGCAGCAGCCGAGTATGACCCTGGTCCATTCATGCTTGCGTCACCGTTCTCGTCGTCCGGTTTTGTGGCACGGAATCGGAGGAAATGGAACACTAAGGCATCGATGACTTTATACGGCAGGGCATATTTCTTGTCTAAAAATACACGGATGAACATGTTTGTCGCACCTGTGCCTTCTGCATTGAAAGAGGATATGGTTTGCTCAGCTGATATCTCGCATAATCGGAGGAGTGCAGCAGCTGAGTGTAAGACTGGTATAGACACTCGCGTTATCACACTGGATACTATCTGTGCTTCTCGTAATGTGCATGTTCCGCTTGCTATGAGTGGGAACAAAAGTCCCTTGAAGAAGCAAGCAGGTTTATACAAGGCCTTCTTTAGAGCATTGTATATGTGTACGTGTAGTTTCTTTGTTTCTCTGATATCATCTCGGACCCGCTCTAGAAGAACCATGGAGATGAATTGTTGAGCAATGTGTGGCTTTGCGGATATGAATATTCTAGTACCGGCGTAGATTGCATTTGGTGTCCATGCCTCCGGTTTTGTAACAGAGAGTAGAGCGTCCCAGTATGGTAGAGTAGGTAGAATTTTAAATGGTTTAGGGAGAGGGCCAGATTTGTAGCGAGAGAGGAGATAACCGACTCTATAGAAAGGTTAGTACTAGTGTGTATAATACTTGCGAGCTTTAAACCAGTAAAATAACATACTTATCGTAGACCTCTAATGCCTTCGCTGGAATCTCAATCGCGTCCTCTGGGGCACCACCTCCGAGAACAAGGGGTTCAGCAGACTGGCCTGCTTCATGTGCAGCTATCTTTTCCAGTATGAGGTCGGCCAAATTGGTGCTTTCGCCGTTGCCTTCCATGCCGTCCTCGCGCGGGTGAAATATAGGATCTTCCTCATCTCGCGGGAGAAATTTGTGAAACATATCCAAGTCATTAGGGTCAACCTCCTACAAGATAATTGATACGTAAGCAGGGGGGGTCCAAAAGCCAGCAATTAGATTTAACAAGTTTGATATATCTATGAAGACGTACCACTTCTTCGACTTCTCCCTCATCCTCCCATTGCGCATCATCGTCGTATTGGACAATATCCTCCTCGTCTTCAAAAGTGGACTCTTCACCAGCCAGCCGGGACTCGAAATCAAATGCAGCCTTTGTCTTTAGATCAATACCTGCAGCTTCTGCAGCAGCTCTAGCCTCTGCAGCATCTTCATCGGCCAAGTCTCTTCCAATCTGCAGGATCTTCTTTGAGGATTTTGAATCGAGGTAATGGTCATCTTCCGTCTCGTCTTCGGACCTTGATTTCCGCTTGCTGCCTGACTTTGTTCGGAGATGGCCAGCGGACGTTATCTCATCCGCTAGGGGTATATGTCGCCGCTCAGAGGCCGCTGTCTTCGTGGTAGGTTTTGGCATGGTGCTTCTGCCGAGGGGCTTGTGTGAGAATAAAACGGCGCCCTGTCCGTTCTTCGATGGTTCTCAGCTATTTCGACCAAAAGTACCTCTCTCAGCGTGTGATATTTGTTCAGTAGAGTCCGTTGAATTAAAATTCTCGTCGTCTCAGCGTTGGGCACTTTTGTATTCATAAATATTAAAAAAAATGCAGCTTTTGGAATAAAAAAAATAGAAGTTTAAAGTTTATCAAGGTTGTGGGCGATAAGAAAAGCCGCTAACTTCTTTTGGACTAGCATATCTAGATATCAAAGTTGAATTATAGATAGTGAAAAGACGAGCAAGGGAAAAAAGATGGAAGATGGAAGGTGGAATAGTGTAAGATTAAGACAAATCTACCCAATATTGGAACCGCCGTCACTCCTACCCTGACCAAATCGTAGCGATACAAGCATAGTAGAGACAAAAGAGACACCAGAGCGGACGGACATTTTACAGGGAATACTTATGAATCGCCGTTGGACCAGCATCGTTGTACTCTACACGGCTAAGGTATCCCTTGCTGGCTCCCTGGTCCACGATAAAGATCACCTTGGCAGCCACCTGTGCTCCTAGGAATGTTGCTTCTTCCATACCGATGTTGTTAGAGCCAGATGCTACTCCAGTTGCAGTATTCGCATTGCTAGCGTCTGCGTTTGTCGGTGGGTTTGTGCCAGGGAGAGCCACCGCTGCGCTGGATGAACCTTGTTCTTTCCACTCGGGGAAATATTCGGGGGGTTTAAGCAGTTTGATGCCCGTTGGTGTTTGCGAATGCCCCGTGGATTTATGGTGTGCAAGCATATTCGGGTCGGCGGAGAGAGCGGCATTGGAGTTTAGATTGTTGGGGGTTGCGGGCGTATTTGAGTGAGTGGCTGCTACAAGTAGTGGGTTCACACCGTGTGCAGCAGGATGAAGGTAAGGGCCTGGGTTTTGGGCCTGAGCCGGCGTGTTTGCACCTGTGGCTAGCGGAGTGGAGAATGTTGAAGGTATCTCTGAGGTAAAGATGGTTCCTGAGGATGGGGACAGCACGTATTTCTGTGTGATGGTAGAGAGGAGTGCCTGTGGGAATCCTACAGTACAGCTGTTAAAATGCAAGCTTAAGTAGCTAAGTGACGATAGAGAACTGACCTTTGACTTTGCTGCCATTCCCTAGTATAATCAGAGAATCCCATAGACTGCTACGTGTCGAGGCATCAGGAACGGAGAGGATGGTATGATGGATCTGGGCAGCAAGAGTCTCCAAGATACTGTAGCCACACCTCTCATCCGCACCTGATTCAAGTGGCGTTGCGGCCATGAGTCTTTCCACCCCGACTTCTATGTCCTTCTTTTGCCTTATAGGCTGAGCTTGGTCATTAGCACCCGTCCGTGGTTCTGCAGGGCCTTCATAATGGAAAGTGGCCTTTGCCTTCTTTGAATTCGGTAAACGGGCTTGTCTAGCGGCTGCGGACTCCGCGGCCTGGCCTTTTCGAGAAGCTGCCTTTTCTGCCTTTTCCTTTTCTCGTTTCGCAATAAACTCACTAGCATTGCCCTTGCTAACAATGCTAGCAACGTCTAGTACGCCGTCATCATCTTCCTTTTCACCATTTCCCAGGCCTCTAGGCATATCTGGGCCCATACCCGGGGGGGGAGCCTGCTTAGTAGACTCTTGATTCGCCGACTCGGCCCCATTGTCTTTGGGTAAGGGGGTGCCAGGTGGTAGAATCTCGCATATAGGGTTCCTCTTTAATTTCTCACACATTTCACGTGTGAACCCCTTAGGTCCCAGCAGTTCTAGTAGCCTGTCGGTCAAAGCCTGTCCACCACAGCCTTCCAGGGCTATTCCTCGTCCGTGTTCGTTCACTATGAAATCAGTCACAGCAGTGACATCCGTCTTGCCATGACCCACGTCAACAACGGTAGCATTGGGGGTATTGTATGCATAGCAGACGGCTAAGGCAGAGTCCATCAGGCAAAACGCCGGTGTCTTGAACTTCTCGAACACGAACTGGGTCAACCTCTCTCGGTCCGCAGCCGTCCAAGCTGGCTGTGCAATTATTATCATGGGTGTATGGAAGGGCGGGCTAAGGGTGTTGTATATATGTGTTAGAAGCGCAAAGAAACACGACCAGTCCACCACAGCTCCGTTGTGTAGTGCATACACCGCACCCTCATCCGACATGGTGTCCTCTTCATACACGGTCATTTCTTCCGTCTCCTCGACTGTATCTGCTGGCTTTTCGCCATTTTCTCTGGCTGCTGGGGTTTCTTTCACCATTTCATTGGCTGCATCCTTCATCTCGACATCCTGCTTCGAGCTGCCCTCTGTAACGGAGCCAGAACCAGCCACAGCTCCTCCCTCGCTCGACGGCACCGAAGGCTCTGTCGCTGCTCCCGCCGGCTTAGGAGATACAACTTTCCTGACCTTAACGACCCGTCCGCGTATCCTATGAGGCTCCCATTCTCCCTTCTTTTCCGCAGGGAACATGCGCGTCGGGAACCGGAACCGAGCTGGAGTGAAGGACTCTGGTAGTCCTAGCTGCGCGAGGGTGACTTGCGACCCAGGCGAGATTAGCTATTCAATTAACTGCGTTAGTGACCGTGTCTAGCGGAACAAATAGAGATGTGCTCTTCAACAATGGCGTACCAGGATGTTATCGCTGCTGAACTGCGGCATGGTGGGCAGCTTCTCCGCCGCGTCGCACTGGCGATTCACACACCCAGCAGTGAAAAGAGCTCAATGATGAATGCAATAGAGTTGGCAGCGCTTTTTCGCGACCGCCTCTGAGCAGTTGAATGGTGAATAATATACCAAATAGAAGCTACCCGTCGGGATGTCCCCGATTCTGTAGTCGTTTCGCAGGTTTTCTTTGATTCGCTTTTTTCTTTTGAAGCTTCAGCTTTGCATTTTTGCCAGTGACGTGTCACGTGATGTTTACGGTGAGGTCCCCAGGCGAGGGGAGAAGTAGATAGTAGATAGTAGATGTAGAGAGGAAGTAGAAGATAAGCTGAACTAGTAGCTCGAAAGATTATATGATGGAAGGGGTGAATACCCTAACTAATGTTCTATCCAGCGGTAGGATGTGTGGTACAGACAATGTATTAAGGAGGTGTAAGGTAAAAAATATGGTAGCATTTAACATGACGCCAGGCAGCACAGAACCAACCCAGAAGAAAATATTCCCATAAACTCCAAGAAGAAACTCATTGATATCGTACGCGTCGTTGAACACATGTGCTAAGGAGACAAGTAGTAGAAAAGACCACTTAGCTCCCCGAGTTGTACTTTTCTCCGGCCGAGCGGAAGAGCTCCTGCTGCAGCCGCAGTAGTTCTTCGTGTGACATGCCGCTCTGGTCTATCTTATTTGTCCGCTTCTCTCGGTCTGCCAAAAAATGTTAGTGTCTCTTTTTCTCACAGAACTATATATATATAAAG